ACAAAGGGCCAACCTAAAACATCCACGCAGATGATAAGAGAAATTACATCATCGACCCATAAGGGAGAGAACCTATAAGAAAGAACTGAGGAAGTGTGGCCTTTTTTGTTGGCCAACAAAATCCATAGCATGATTAAGTTATTGAAAGCAATGTTAAGTCAAAGCACTAAATAGTATCTTCATTTTCATCTATGCATCACGTATGATAGAGTTAATTTTCCAAGGATTCTTTTGAAGAAAACATTCCCCCATATAATATCTATAACTTGTAACCATGCATGCATTACCAAGATTATAATAAAACCCAATTATAATACAATTACTAAATTACAACCCTTTGCTAAGTGGTAATAGACTAAATGATAATGTATATCTACATAATTTAAAATGAAAATTCATATGCATTTATTTCTATGGTTGTCTATTATCCTCAAATATCACGGTCTATTTAATTTTTACTACCGTCCAATATCTTTGGGAGGCTATTGTACGTTGAGTGATATATATACTTCCCCTCCGTTTTTTTTAGTTTACTTGACTTGTTTTATTTATCATGTTTGTTAAAGTATAATTTTAACCATCAATAACTTCAAATCTCAACTAATAAAATTATAAAAATTAGATATTATTGCTCACCTTCGTCTCATTTTTTTCAACATGTGAATAGAAGTAATTTTTTGCCGATATACTATTTACATGTATTAGTTAAAATTTAACTAATACTTCAAATTGAGTAAAATCTTTTGAAAAAAAACTCCCCTTTACATGTGACATGTAATAGTAGTAGTTTTTTGAGACGATTCTAACAAAATAGCACATGAATAGATTTTTTCTCACATATAACTCACAAATGATGATCAAAGAAAGAGGTTGTGAATAATATACAAGTAAAAGCCTAAATATGACAGTAAAAAAGAATGGAGAAAGTAAAATTTATTGAAAAAATAAACATTTTAAAGGTCGTTAAGGATTTAAGGATGGATCATTGTCTATTTGGATGCTCATATAGTCTAATAGTCATATGGGTATTCCATTATGCCTTTATTAATATAAAAAAAAAAATGGTGTTTAAAAGCCCAAATAAGCAGCTAGCTAGCCCATATTTCAATCTCAACGACTATTTCCTAAAATTAGAATAATTGCAAACCTTAATACATTTTCATCCATTCTTTTTTACTTGATCTAGTTCGATCTCGGTAAATATCAATTTTAAAGACTACAAACATGTTTTCTTTTATATTTACTCCCTAAACTATGTCTTTTTTTACTTTCACTACTCAAGTAAAATGAAGGGCTTTATATTTAATTGTAATCTTTAAATTGTTTATTTATGTTTGTTGTTTAGAGTTTACGCATTTCTGTGTATAGATGGGTCGAGCACTGCCAATCCATCCAACTTAGATGAGTCCTAGCTCGAGCTAGAGCTTCTAACTGAGCCCATAATTTTGTTTAAGCTTTTGTTTAATTTTTTTTTTTGACACACAAGCTATATGTTTATTTATTTGGGAGGTTATATATTTCGTATAATGCTCATGAACAACTAATTTGTTTATCGAATCAAGTTTATAAATGAGATTTTTTATTTTAAAGAGTTTTTATTATAAACGAATATATTCTTTTAATGACCTCTGTATTCTTAAGACTTTGAATATAAAAAAATCAAGTATCATAATCAAATTCTAATTATAAAGTCTAGTGCTGTATTTGATAAACTAACAAATTTAGATCAAAAGTCCCGAATAAGTCACTAAAGTTTATTAAACGAGCTTTGATCCATGCATATATTAATAAACGAGCATGTTTATTAACAAATAAATGAGCCGTTATTTATGAACTTATATGAATGAGAATATCTATGTTCAAGTTTATGTTCATTTATTAAGCGAGATTAAAAAATTGTTCAAGGTCATGTTAACCTTAATTTGTTTTACTTGCCCCTTCTTGATACCAGTGGCGGATCCAGGATTTTTGAACTTATGAGTCACCATCAATAATTGATCACTTGTTTCAATCCAAAAATTATATAAAAAAAATATATATTTCACCAAAATGATTTCAATCCAAAAATAGGATCTAAAAATACATACTATAAAACTATTACATTAAACTAACTTTATGATTTTTCGCTTAAAAACAAGAATTATAAAAAAAAAAAAAAGTTAGATAACTTAAACTTAAGAGACCTGTTATTAAATATAACAGGTCTCTTTAATGAAATATGAAACCAGCGCAAAAAAATTATTTTGACAAAAAGAAACCCGTTATCTAGATAACAGGTCTCTAATGACGTGGTGGCAATAGCATCAACAAAGAGACCACCTATCTGATATTTTAATAGGCGGTCTCTTTGATATTTAAAAAACTAACAGTGGGCTAATCTCAAATAGAAGCAGAAAAGAGACCGCCTATATGTAATTGGAGGTCTCTTAGTTTTTTTTTTATTATTTTTTGTGTGCTAGTGAGTCACGTGACTCACTATGCACCTTAATAGATCCGCCCCTGCTTGATACAATCAACCTTGGAATACATGCCGCCAATGCAATAATTTGACCTTAAATATATAATTAAATATTAGTAAAAAAATATTACTTGTAAAACACTAAAAAAAAACTTAATATTATGAAACTTTAAATTAATACCTACTTTTCCTAAAAAAAAAAATAAAAAAAAAATAAAAAAAACTATTTAACAACCTATTTCAAAGATAAATTTTGTTTTTAACACGTTAATTTATGGATAGTGGAAAAAGGACCAGCGTGTTAATTAGTATGGGACAGAAAGAGAATTTTTTTTAAAAAAATATGTTTAGATAAAAATTAATACGTTGCTCAGTTCAATCTATAGTTAAAATAAGTTTTAATTATGTCTAATAAATTTTAATTTGTTCTAATAAGTAAAATCAAATGAATATAGCCCATCCTAAATAAAAGAACATACATGAGCTTCAATTGAGCTCGAGCGGTTTTTTAAGCGTCTTAATTAGCTCGTTTACATAACTCATTCTTAACTTTAACTAACTATTTATGTAATACGAGTAAGGTTATAAGTGGGATAAAAATTATCAAATAGAATCACCATTTTAGTGTTGTAGAAAATTGTACTCCCTTTGTGTTTAAATAAGTGTTACACTTACCAAATGGCCATGTTTTAATAAGTGTTATACTTTCTTTTTTGGCAAAAAGCTACCTTTTAATATTAAATGCTTTTCCTTTAATGGTACCTACCCAAATCCACTACTATTTTTTTTTTATTATTTATTTCCTTTCACATTCATTACTCCCTCCATATTTTATTACTTGCTTCATTTTTCCATGTGCTGAGTTTTTGAAGAAAGAGTATAAAGTAATAAAATATGATGGAAGTGGGGTAGGTTGAAGAATAAAAAAAATCTTAAAAAACAAAAGTATGAGTGAAGAGGAGAGAGAATGTGAAAAATATTAAATATGATATGAGGGGAGCACTAGTGGGGAGGAAAATAGTAATATATTATCAGTTCAAAATAAGAAATGGAGCAAGTAATAAAATACGGCCGCAAAATAAAAGTGGAGCGATTAATAAAACACTGGGGGAGTACTTTTCAATAAATTATTAACCTCACTATTTTTTTAATAATTTTTTAACATTGCAACTATTCCAGTTACCTCTTACTTCCTCTGTTCTTTTTTACTTAACCTGTTTCTTTTATCACGCTTGCCAATGCAAAACTTCAACGATCAATAACTTTAATTCTCCATAAGTAAAATTATAAAAGTTCTTTCTAAAAAATAATTTATAAAAGTTATATATTATGATAATACTTATTGAAACGAATTCGAAAACATCCCACATGAATATGTTTTTCCTTATATATTATTCACAAAAGACGGTCAAAGAAAAAATGGTGAATAGTGTAAAAGTCAAAGCGGATCAAGCAAAAAAGAACGGAGGAAGTATTTTATTTAAGTTACTAGGTTAGTCTCGTTCAATGCACGGTTTTAACATAAAAAATGAATTATAGCTTTTTAGCATATATTGAAAGAAGACAACTACTTCCTCCGTTTTCCTAATTACTTCATAATCAAATATGAAAAATTCCCAAAATCCATCATTTTCATATTTAATTAGGAAAAATCAATCAAAATATATTATTACATAATTTTTAACAACTAGTCGCAAAAATCATAATATGCATAGGAAACCTAATATTTAAAATTCAATTTTAACCTTGTTAAAAAAGGGGAAAATCAAATAAATTTCCACAAAATTAAGCAATCAACAAACAATCAAATCATATAAAAACACTTTTCTGAAAAAAAAAATACATAAGAACACAATCAAATAAATCACCATATCATACTCGATCAACGATCGCACAGTGAAATAAAAAGTTGTGTAATATTTTTCAAATAGTATAAGAATAACATTTTTCAAATAGTATAAGATGAAAAAAATATCTAGAAGAAGAAGAAACCATCTTTCAATAAAATAAAAACAAAAGACAAAACCAATAAAAATGAAAAAAATAGAGAAATAAAATCAAAACAAATTTTAACACACTTGATTAAAGGGGAAAAAACCCAACAAATTTCACACACAAAACCTAAATAATCGAAAACCATTGTTAAATTTTATTATTCTAAAATGACAACACAATAAACAATCCAAGAATAATAATAAAGAAGATAAAGAAAGAAGAACCCGCGTAAGAGAAATATTAAACAATTAAAACTTAAATTATAAAATCAAATCAAAATATAGTACGTAAACTCAAAATGAAAAAACAAAATTGTGGCTAAGAATTGAGTAAATGGAGTAGATTTGAAGTAGAGAGTAAAATTAAGGAGATAGGAGTAGGAGGTCATTTATTATTGTGACAGTCAAAATTGTTTCAATTTCGTAGAATAAAATGATAAGTTGTATTCATAATGTAGAATATTGGAATATAATTTTCAAAGCAATGTTAAATAGGGTAGCTAAAAAAAGGAAAAAAAAAAAATACATTAGCCTTGCATTTAGGCGGGAAAAAAATATAATAAAAAAGTGGCATGTAGACAATAATGATATTAGCGATTGTTATTTTAGAATTGTTTATAAATAGATAGATAGATTTAAATAGTATTAAAAACACGGAGGGGTAGGTTACCACTAAAAATTTCCGAAATAATTCTTGTATTTTACATCAAACTAAACGGGTATCTCGATTCTCAAGTTATCGACAAACGGGTCTAGTAGGATAAAAATTTCATAATTCAAAGACTTGCCTTTTCCTCTTTTCCTTTTTCTAGCTACTTCCATCATGGTGAAAAAACGGTGACGTATGACCCTGGTTATATCACGATCTAATTTTGCCGGTTTTAATTATGGTTAACCAAACAAATCGACATCAATGGAGAAGATTAATATACCAAGTAATAGTTGATTTTCTCCGGGAACTAGGGGAGAGGCAGCCTCATTTTCAAGATTAAGATTTCACATTCCCATTCTTCTCTCTCCATTAAAATCACTGCGAAATTTCTTGGTAAGATCACATCTTTTCTCTTTAATCTTTCATTAATCGAAATATTAATATAGATTTGACCCTTTGATCTAATTATTTCTATGTAATTAACTTATAGCTTAATGGGTTTAATTAGTTCTTTAGAAATCAAATTTATTTTTCTAATTTTATTGCCAATTACCATTGGCACATTTTTATATAGCAGTGAATTCAATAGACTTGTATTCCAAATTTTCCCCTGTTCATAATTGATGGTATATCTAGTTTAGAGAAAACAAAGAGAGTAAGTCTTAGTTGAGACGGTCTCAACACGAACTTGTTGTAAGTTGTCAAATGGTATTTTGAATGATTAAAAAGTTCCCTCGATCTCACAATAAGTTATTGTAAATTCGTCTCATACAATATTTAGTCGATAAAGAAGTTACAGGAATGTTCAAATTCTATGTTACTGAATATTACAAGGGTAAGTGAAGGTTTAACTAGTGGGGTTCATTGGTCTAATTCTAGAAGACAGTTCATCCAGTAATTCACAACTTTGCTTAATCAATCAAGCTTATTGTATTAGTTGGTTATGTAGAATGAAAGTATCAGATTATTTTATGGTGCAGTTGTTTGTGCTGATTTATCAAACTCTATGATTTAGTAGTGCTTTTTATTAACCTTATTTTGTGCACAAGATATGTATGGTCTTACATATTTTCTCTTTCATGTTCTTTAATCTCTCAGATAAATTTACAGGAAAAAGGTGTAAAGCATTCGAACAAAGAGACTGAAAATATTGATACATTGAGGTCAGTAAGTGGAGCTCGTAATAGTTTGGAACATTACGCTTGTTCATCACTTATGTTTCGGTGTTTTATCAGAAATTCATTAATATTTATCATGGAGTGATAGCTCAACTAACTATATGAAGTGTAAAATCGAAATGCAAGTTGTTCTCTAGTTGAAGTAGAGTCTAGTATTCTAGTACCAATTCCTCATAATATGTGCGTCATCAACTAATTTATATATGCAGTAAGCTACCATAGTATGTAAAAGTGTTTCACACTGTTAATTCCCAAAAAATATATATCTTGCTGCCTAATTTAGTGTCCAAATATGTGACAAGAGTGTGAAATCTATGAGACATGTAGGTTCAATGTTGTGTCTTTTGTGTTAAATGAGTAAGCATTAGTTTCAACTGTACTACACTAAATTACTAACTACCAAACCTTCATTGGCTAGAATGTGGAGTTTTCCAAATACAATCCCAAATCTTCGTCTTCGGAAGGTTTCTACCGAGCCAAAACTGTGTTGTGCTGACTCGTCAGATGATGACACTGGGTCAAGTTCTAGCAGAGAGGAAGGTCTTGAGTGCCCAATTTGCTTTGAATCCTTCAATATTGTTGAGAATGTGCCTTATGTCTTATGGTGTGGTCACACTCTGTGCCAGAATTGTGTTCTTGGACTTCAATGGGCTGTTCTGAAATTGCCTGCCCAGAAGATTAAGCTTCCGTTTTTTGTTTCCTGTCCATGGTGCAGCTTGTTATCGTTTAGATGGGTCTATAGAGGAAATCTCAAGTTTCCTCGAAAAAACTACTTTATCCTTTGGATGATAGAGAGCTTGAATGGAGAACGGGCAGAGTCTTCTTGTTCAGTAAGAGATGATAGCCGGCCAGCATTTTCTCCAAGAATAAGCACACTTATTGGTTCTCCCAACAATGAAAGCCCTAGGAGGGTTCAATATGCTCAAACTCGAGGATGGTTGGGAAGCAACCTTGATAATAATCGTGTTGCTGGTAATATTAATGTGGAAAGGCCTCAATTCTCACTTCATAAGTCCCTTGATTACTTCATTCACGTTGCTTCTAAGTTCCCGCTGGTTATTCTTTTCTTGGTGATTATATTCTGCGTAATACCAGGAAGTGTGGCTATATTGGTCCTGTACTTGCTAGTCAGTGTTCTATTAGCTCTGCCGTCTCTTTTGGTTGTTTACTTTGCGTACCCTACTTTGGATTGGTTATTGAGAGAAATTGCCAGCTAAGGTTTGTTTGATTCTGCAGTTTGTGTTCTTGTTGAGTTTGTTGGCTTGCAAGATAGTTTCTTCTTTACTTCCAGCTTCTCCATTATCCATGTATTTCGGTTGCTCATTGCTTGATTGATTAGGGAAGTGTCATGGAATGGGAGACCTGTGAAGTTGCATACTTTCTCGCAGTTGACATCACAATTGTAATGCTTTGTTGTGATTATTGGAGTCCTAGAGGCTCATAATGAAATGGGCTTCCCATATGAGGGACTATTATGATCAACTGTGCTGTGATTAATACTATATATGCCTCTGCTAGATTTTTGTGTGTTTGAATTCATCTTATGGACTTTATCCATCATGATACTATTTAAAGTGAATGCTAAATCATTCACTGTGCATGCAATTGGGCTACTGATATGCATAGTCCTCAATTTCAAAAATTATTCTGGGTGTATATGGGAGTGTTCAATAAAGTGAATCAGAAAATATATGCCACAAACACAAAAGACATTTTTTGTATCAAAATTCTCAGATGTGCATCACTCTAGAATATCAAATTGTTAATATTTTGGCTGCAACTTTTAAGGCTTTTGGATTTATACCTGAACATATAACAAATACATGATCTCCTTTGTTTTAGATTATGTTGCTATTGATATATACCTGAGCATAGAACGCAATTTAGGGCTTGTTGTTTTTTGATGCTAAACTATGCATTAGAGTTATTTTCCTTTTCCCTAATTTTTTTTTCTTTTTCTTGAATAAATAAACTTTTGAGTTGATGTGATTAATGCCTCACAATATCTCGTTGAGTTGTTCATGGATGATTTCTTTTCATATCCCTCATTTTCCTTGTAAAACAAGCTTTCATATCTTTAGATTCCTGGTTTATTTACTGATTCTTCTGGTACAAAGATTAAGTGTTAAATTAGTTATATCATAAAGTAAGCTGTAGTTTTGCAAACCACCCCCCCCCCCCCCCCCCAAAAAAAAATAATAATAATAAAAGGCTGCGTTGGCTTCATTAGCTTGGAGGTCCTATCAATTGTGTTTTCATGGCTTTATTGTGTTTTGCTTAAACGAAAGGAATTGTGGTCTTTTGCATCTGATAGGGAAATAATTTGCTTGGGCCTCTTGTCCGCAAGCAAATTTACTCAATCTCACCCCTAATTGGTATGAAATGGTAGACTGTTACAAAAACACACTTGCACAAACATTTTGTTTGTAACAAAAACACAGGGTTCCATCTGTTTAAGTTGCTGATTTGTTATATCAATATATTTCCACACCTCACGCTTTGTTCAAATTGTATTATACATATGACTTGTTTGAAATGTATGTTTGTAATCTATTTACACTTAAATATGATATATACTGACTGTCCTTTTACAAACACCTTTGATGGAAAGGTAACAAGAATTAACTGCTCTATTTTTGACCAAAGGTTTTATGTGTTCCTCTGTGTACTGTTGTAACTTGATGACAGATGCCATATTGCTCTGTTGCCTTCACAAACAAAGGCACATTGGAGGCAGAGGAGGTTCTCCTGTTGCTCGGTATTTGTTAGCCTTCTCCTTCACCTTGAGCTCTTCTTTCCTCCGTTTTTCCTTTGCCTGTGCTCTTGCTCCATCAGCTATCTCTCTTATGCGTTCCATCTCAATTTGATAATTTTGCAATGCTTTAGCCCTACTTTTTTCCTTATTGCTCTGCGATTCTTGCAAGCAGATCTTCGTTAGAAAAGCTTTCCTATATTTATAGCAACTGGAGTCTTGCTTAGATTTAAAGCGAACCTCTGTTGATTCCAATTTGCGTCTGGCTTTCTTCTTCTTCTTATCTTCCCATTCCAGAATTGTTGCATTCAGTTTCTCATATCTGTGTATATGAATACATGCCAATTTTTAAAATTTAAAAATTCTACATTATTGCATTTAGAAAGTTAGGTATCAAACTTCCCATCTACCTTTCTTTAATTTTAGCCATTTCTTCTGTCTCCCAAGCGTCTGCATCTGTGTCAAAGTTCCCACACCTGGCTCTGTGTGCCCGTTTTGGTGGATCTATAGGCTCTATGTAAAGTGGTGGAACTGCGGGTGGAGGGGGGATATTGGATGGTGGATAGAGTCTTGGTGCTGAACTTTCTTGTTTAGTGGGTTTAGCATTCTGCGTCTGTTCTTCGCCAAAAGTTGGAGTCCTTTTCACAGATGGACTCCTTCTGGTGAAGGGAATGGTTGGTTTCAATTTTTTGGCATCTTCTGACTCTTCATCAAAAGTTGGAGACTTTTCGATGTAATTGTAGGGCATCCCGCTATCTTCTTGCAGCTCATCAGCAAAGGTTAGTCTTTTCTTTGGCATAGTTGGAATCCTTTTTATTGATGGTACTGGATGGATAGTTTTCTCTGGTATTCTGGCTTGATGATCATCTAACACGGTCATGTAAATGCTTTAATTAATTGTAAATAAAAACCATGCAAATCAGCTATATATATAAATTTGCCTCTTAAGCTTTTACCAGTGTTTCTGTTCAATGCTTCATCAGGCTGTGCTGCTGCCGAAATTCTGTCCACAATCCCGCTTATGATTCTTGGAAGAGAGAATTGTGGTCCTGCTTCTGGTGCTCTTTGATCCGGGCTGTCTGAATCAATCGAAGTAATGGCAAATGCAGCTGCTGCAACTGCGGCAGCATACTCTGTGTCCTCAGCTGGCTCTTTGTTACTCATTTGGCGTGAGAATTGTCTCCTGAGCCACTTTTGAGGTTTCCTCTCTGCATTTGTCAATAGATTTCATTTTTTAAAACTGCTGATTTCTTTCTTTTTCCTTTACTCAACTGTTCTGCAATTTGCGAAAGCATAAAACCTTACCTCTAAATGATGACGTTCTTTGGTCCCTTGTGTTGCCAAGTTCTTCTCTCCCACTAAATTTCGACCTAACAACAGAGATTTTTAGTCAAAATGCATTTGTATAACATTAGTCATAAAAACTCGAAAATGTAAGCATTTACCCCTGAGGAATACGAATACTGTATTATTGGGAGTAATTGTAGGGGTACCTCACTTGACTGAGCAGATCTTCCATAAATGGATTGATATCGTTCAGATATGTGATTTCGAGGAGATTATTTGTAGGAGCATTATGTGTTGTGAAATGCAGGGGACGTCAGGGCACTTTATAATCGAAGGTGGGTTACTTGGAAGATGTTCTTAGGTAATAAGACTCTTTGCTGCAAGTAAAGATAGAATATTCTTTGCTGCAGGAAGTTAACCTTTATTCTTTGTTAGAATCATCTTCTTACAAGAAAGTACGTTTCCTTTCATCTTTATGCCTGCTCTTCTGTTTTTAAAAAATACGAAGTATAAAAAAGGATGGATTTAAGTATTTCTTTTACCCTATTTTGTTCTGGGGATTATGATTTAAAAAATACTCCGGAAGTATAAAAAAAGAAGAGATATTCTGTAAGTAATTAAGGGATCTAATAAGTTCATTACAAGGCAAATACTATCATTTATAGAGGCTTTTTTAGCGGGTTATCTCATCTTTCAAACATTTATTTGCTAATTTTCTTCTGTATTTTGTTAATCTTGTATTTGTATACCAAAATTGAATTATTAACATGTAGGAATGAAAAATTAGTTAAATGTTCAATTACTATAAAACCAGATCTTTATCTTGTAAAATATACAGTATTCCGTATTATTTTTTTCATGAATATTCGTAATCATTATCATGAATATTCGTAATCTTTTTCAAAAATCATACAGAGACAAACCAAACCGATACTCTTTTTATTTTTTTTTATTTTTATTTTGATAAATGATTCTAGCTAGCAGTTTCGCAATCGGTCTGTTCCATGTACATGAGGTTATTATTAGGATCATGTCCAATATTATAATTTACGAGCTGCTCAAACCCAAGGACAGATAAAGTTGACATTGTTCTAATCATTTGCAAGCACTCTATGCCAGCTTTTGGGATTTTCTGCCATACTCTAAATTCCTCGAATTCTAAGGTAAAATCAGTGACCTCTAGCGCTATAATCGGTCTTTTATCCTCCTGCCCCTTTTCAAGATTTGAGAAAGGATAACAAATCTCGAAAATGGCGTACTTTGTTGCAGGACCAAGGAATTGCTCTATCTTCATCTTCAATGCATCAAAAGCTTCTGTTGTTAGGATTGTTAGGGCGGTAGTAGAGTCAGCGATGAAACCTCTTGTCCCGTTGTTCATCTCAAACACTACTGGTCTTACGTCGATGTCTTCTCTGTTCACTTGGACAGAGACCACGTCGAGGTAGTAGAAACTGGTGTGAAGGTTCTTTACCATGTCAAGGGTATCACCCCTGAGTTCTGCTGCTGGACCAAACTTGATTAGGCTTGTTTTGGACAAGTCGTCGGAGATACAATATGAGAACCTGGGATCGTCTGGATATAGTTGCCTTGGGAGTGATAAGCCACTATTAGTTGCACCTGTTAAATAAAAAATTATGGAATTTGTTTGCTTAATGTTGGAGAAATGAATCACTTTTGTTTGTTGAATGGATTTAGACTAGGGCGTTGTCAAATTAATGATGTGGACGAGACATAATTAGTGGCAGATCTAGGAATTTATGAATGGGGTGGCTCACCCCTACTCCTTAATTTACAATGCATTGTTTAGAAAATATCAATCTTGAGAGTCATTTTAGCCTATTTGGTGTTCGGTTTGAATTTGAGCTCAAATCAATCATTAGAAATAAAATTTAATTTGTTTTTGAAAAGCTAAGTACAATTTGATTTAAATTTTACAAAAATTTAATCCAATCCAATTCGAATTGAAATTTTGGTATAGCATTTTTCCTAGTTAGATTATTCGTTTTAAATCGTGATTAAGAAAAATACAAAATGTTACAGATTGGTTCACAATCTTGAAATATGTCTTAGTAAGGATTAAAATAGCTTGATGGCGTAGGCCTATTGAGTATTCTATATTTCTATGTTAAATAATTTAAGTAGTTCAAAAATAAATAGGAATTAGACTTCTAGATTTTTTTTTTGTTTTTTTGGTTTATTTGGATCCATAACCCTTCAATCTGATCCGAATAGAAAATCCAATTCTTAAAATAAAACTCCAATTTAATCCGATCTGATTATACAATTTTCTATTTAATTAGTCGTGGGTCCTATGACCCATCATAGTTTTACTAAATGGACACAATCCTAATCCTTGATTATGTATATTATCTTTGACTTTATACCTTAGCTAAATAATTAAATACAAATGGTGGGTCATATGACCCACCATGACTAAGCACAGTTTCGCCAAATGGACACAATCCCAATCTCAGATTATGTATATTCCTATGAAGTAAGACAATACACCATACTCCATAAATATAGGAGACTGACTTAGTGTCACGGTCCGAGTGGTTTGACACCGGATCGTGCGGCGCGCTCTTATCTTTTAGAAACAAGAACGCAAGCCTAGAGTGAGAGAGGTTCGTGGGCACACAGCGACACGGACCAAAGGTATCTCAATGAGGCAATCGTTAGTAAGGAGTGCAGGGTCGGGGCTTGTGACGGCCGATACTTCGAAGCGGGCACAAGCGGAACCGACAAGGATGTAGGCGTCTTTGAGAGCCTCTTGGTTTGGTGGGGAGCTTTAAAACAAGGCAAGCACAATATCTATAAAGGCTTAAATCAACACACAAGTCTTAAAGCAAGGCAACCCGAATAGGAGCTTTTTCATTCATTCAACCATCGCTCCATATAGAGCTTTATATTGTTTACATGGAGAAATACTAGCGAACACTGAAATGACAGTAACACAATAATCTCCTCTAGCGCCTAAACTACTTACACGAATACATTGAAAGTTTAACATAAGCTAAATAAAGACATAAGAAAGCAAAATACATGATGAAAGAGGTTGGATCCTAACATCCTCCCCCACTTAAGCTGTCGACGTCCTCGTCGACTTACAAAATATGACTAAGGAGACTAAAGTTCTTGATCCTTAGGTCTCTGCTGAAGAGGTGCTGCGCTGTCTGCTCCAGATGCTGGCTCGATTGCTGATGTTGCGGCTTGAGTCTTCTTGATCTGGGTGGTAGGGCTTGAGGCGGCTGACGTGAAAGACTGGGTGTATCTTCATCCATGCTGGAGGTTCGACCTTGTACGCATTCTTCCCTATCCGTTTTATGATGCGGATGGGGCCTTCGTATTTTCTGATCAATCTTCGATCTCTTCCTCTCAAAAACTTCAGTTGTTCGGGTAACACTTTCACCATCACCATATCCCCAACATCAAACTCCAACGGTCTTCTGTTTTGATCAGCCCACTTCTTCATCCTCCTAGCTGCTCGCTCCAAGTAGGCCCGAGCAATCTCTGTGTTTTGCTCCCACTCCCTTTTGAATTCTCGAGCTTGAGTACTTCGTCCGGCCTCGGTGTCTGCTACTGTGTGAGGCAAAAGAGGTTGTTGGCCCATGGTCAGCTCGAAAGGGCTCTTGTTTGATGAGGAGCTCTTTTGGGCGTTGAAACAAAGCTGAGCTACATCGAGGAGTCTCACCCAATCCTTCTGATTGGCACTGACGAAGTGGCGCAAATATTCTTCAAGTAACCCATTGAATCTCTCCGTCTGCCTATCTGATTGTGGATGATGACTTGATGACATATTGAGTTCTGACCCCATCATCCGAAACAACTCTGACCAGAATATGCTTGTGAATCTCGTGTCTCTGTCGCTCACTATACTCTTTGGGAGTCCCCAATACTTCACAACGTGCTTGAAAAATAATGAGGCAGTTTCTTCAGCACCACATGCCTTTTGCATTGGAACGAAGGTAGCATATTTTGAGAATCTATCTACAACCACCATTACTGCGGAGAGCTGGTCCACCTTTGGGAGGCCACTGATGAAGTCCATGGATACACTCTCCCAAGGGCGAGTAGGGATTGGTAACGGTTCCAGGAGCCCACCGGATTTCTGTCAGTCGACCTTGTCTTGTTGACACACCAGACAAGTTCTTGTGTAGTTCATCACGTCCTCTTTCATCCCCGGCCAATAGTATCCTGTGCTCAGTAAGCTGAGTGTCCTTTGCCAACCCGGATGACCTGCCCATAGCGTGTCGTGGCATTCCCTCAAGAGCATCTTTCTCAAACCACCTGCTCTAGGGATGAAGAGTTTCTTTCCTTTTGTGTAGACAAGTCCGTCTTCCATCCAGAAACGTCTAGTTTTCCCTTCATCAATCAGTTTCTTGATGGTTCCTGTCATCGGATCATCTCCTAAGTAAGCTTTGCCTTGATCACGCACAGAGGTAGTGACGTTGCTTGAAGTTAAAGGGGCTAATCTTTGTAGGGGTGCCAGGTCTGCTCGCCTGCTCAGCGCATCTGCTACCTTGTTGCTAGCCCCTGTTTTGTATGCAAACTCTACATCGAACTCAGCCAAGGATTCTTGCCATCGAGCCTATCTTCCTGTCAACTTAGGCTAAGAGAGAAAGCGGGTCGCAACAGTATTGTCGGTGCGGACGATGAACTTCGAGCCCAACAAGTAATGTCTCCAGCCCCTAAGGCAGTGCACAATAGCTATGAGTTCCTTTTCTTGTGCTGCGTACTTCCTTTCCGCACTGTTCAACTTCCGACTCTCGAATGCGATGGGGTGTCCATCTTGGAGTAATACTCCTCCCAAGGCAAAATCGGAAGCGTCTGTCTCTACTTCAAAGGGTTTGTTGTTGGGGTTAGGGAGAGCGAGGACTGGCTCTCTCATTACTGACTCTTTCAATTCCTGAAAAGCTTTTTGCTGTTTCTCTGACCATTCCCAACGATGATCCTTCTACAAGAGGTCGGTGAAGGGACTGGCTAACTCGGAGTATCCCTTGATAAATCTGCGGTAATAATTTGCCAAGCCTAGAAAGGACCGAAGCTCGGAAGTGTTCCTTGGATCTTTCCAATCCTGAATTGCTTGTATCTTCTTTGGATCCATCCTTATGCGGCCTTTACCTACAAAGTGTCCCAAGAACCCAACTTCTTCTTGGGCGAAAGCACATTTTTCTCGCTTGACGAACAGATGATGTTTTCGCAGCTTCTCAAACACCTTTCTCAAGTGGTCGAGGTGTTCTTCAAAGGTCTTGCTATAAATTACAATGTCATCCAGGTACACCACTACAAACTTGTCGAGAAATTCATGGAACACCTGATTCATCAAGGTGCAGAAGGTTGCGGG